GAAAACCCAAAGTAGATCCAGTGGTTCAAAAAATTTAAGCAATTTTTTTTTCAAATTTTGAAGGTAAAATAACTCGGTTATTTTGGACATATTTGAAAAACGGTAAAGAGAAAATATATTTCTTTTCTCGAGATCCATCACCCCGGAAAATATTTGCACCTATTTAAGACTCACCATATATAATAATCACTCAACGAGATGTAAATGAAACTTCCATTCGTATCAAATTTATGAATGTGTGCATTGGTATCAGTTGTATCAAGTTTATGAAACAACCATAAACGAATCTTTATTAATCAAACTTTACTCTTTTTACTTCAAATTAACTCGAAGAAGCATCTATCATTAATAATGGGTTTGCTATTTTTTCTAGAAACCAAATTTTATGGACTTTATAGAATGGTTATACTTTCAATTTGTCTCCAATTTCGGTATTTATATGTATAATTAATATTATCTTATGACTTAATCTACTCGGTCTGAACCACATTCGACAATAGATATATCTTTCGATATAGATAGTCCACACAATCACATCCACAGAATCAAATCCCTCAAGTGGCAATGGACAGGACACCTGGCAAGAAGGACTGGCAACAGATGGACCACAAAAATTACAGCGAATTACGAGGAATTAAGAAGCACAGAACTTAAGAACCCTTAAGAAGACCAAACCTGAGATGCAGGACCCGCATAGCCAACAATAGACAACAATGGTCCCAACTACAAAGAGAATACTAAATACATGAGGAAGGCTACAACGTAATTGGAAATGGTTGAATAAGCTAAGAATGATGATGATGATAGATAGATAGTCTCTCAAAAGTACTTTCAAACTCCTTTTTAAAATTTACTGTTGAGTTAACGTCTCCTTTTTGCTGCTAAAGTTCTCTGGATGAGGGTTACTTTGTTTACTTGACTTAGTACCTAAATGGAACCTTCATAGCATAGTCGTCAATATCCACTGCTGGCCTCCTCTAAAACTTCCAGATATTCGTTTAATATCATCGCTCCAGCGCGTCGGTGGTCTACCTCTATTCCGTTTATCTTCTCGTGGCCACCATGTCAGTATTCTTTTAGTCCACCTATCGTTCCATGTTCTCGCCATATGACCTGCCCATCTCCATTTCATTCTGGTTATTTGTTGTCTACTCTCTCTTTTGTCTACTTTTAGGCTGTATTCCGTTGCAAAACAAGGCGAACCAGACCGGTAAATTACGGTAAAGAGGGGTTCCTGAAAAATATCGGTTTGATACTGAACGGTTTAGTAAAATACTGGAAAGACTGGAAACGTCAAATGTTGACGTTTTCTAAATTTCAATACCTCTGTTATAAAATTTATCTTTTATGCATTTTTAATGTACAGCTGGTTCCAAAAAAATGAATACGACTCTCACGCACATTTTTTTTTGAATATTTGAGCAGTGTATATCAGCATACGGTTCCAGGTATTTTGATATTGAATAAGGCGACCTAAACCTGGTTTAGACGCTCATGCATTCTACGCAAACAACTTATGCAAGCTGGAACAAGCAATTAGCTTAAATTTTATAAGCGTCAAAGGGAGAATTTTTCGTACATTTTTTAGATGGAATTTTGTTCGAAAATAAACTAAATATTTAAAATAAGTTTATTTTTATTACTTCCACAATTTTATAACGCAACTCTTAAACTATTATCATTGTAAGCATACTATATTGTGGCGTAAAGACAAAAATGTATTACTATTGGGCATACTGCTACCACTGGGTATAAACAATTAATATTTTGTCATTCTTTCATCGGCATCTATCACTGCTTGGCCTTCTGGTCATCGATTCTAAAAATGATATTAAAAAACCTTCTTCTTGAGACAGTTCCTCCCATATTCCTTCAATTCCCGCCCATAAATCTTCAGCATTTTGAGGCAAAAAATTTCTTTGGTAAAGTTTTTTGACCATGACTCCCCACACATTTTCTAGCGGATTTATATCCGGGCTATAGCTTGGCCATGGCAGTGTTGCGATATTGTTTATTCTAACTACTGAGTTATAATATTGGCCGTGTGCACCGAGCAATTGTCATGTTGATATAAAAAATTATTCTCTGGATAGAGATGCTCAACACTAGGCTGCATTATATTTTCCAATATATCTAGGTAGGTTTGCCCAATAAATCTAAAACAAAATATACTTTAAATTAGGTATCCAACTGATTATTTAGAAAGTTACCATCTTTTCGATCACGATCTAATTAAATATAATTTTAGTTACAAACCTTTCATTAATACGGCACAACACTCCCATTCCCCTCGATGAGATCCATCCCCAAACGTTGACACTAAAATGACCTGCAGTTCGAAAATAATTTGTGTAACGTGGATCATATCTGGTATTTTCAGGTCGGTAAACTCCAAGTTTTCCTTTTTTTGGAGGCCTGAAATATTTTCTCGTCAATAAACACCACACGATTCCAAAAATCTTGATCTCGGTGTATATGGTTTAATGGAAAAATGATGCGGGACTGCTTTTGTTGTGGGGTAAGGTCGGTTTTGTTTGCAGCAATCCTATAGTTTAATTGAGAATTTTGAATTCTACGCCAAACCGTGGTTTTTCCTCCAGGAAACCCAGACAATATTCGAGCATTTCTCGCATTTTGAAAGGGGTTTGCCACTAGTTCCTGAATAAGCGCTTCGTCCTCTTCAGCTGTACTGATTTTAGGTCTCCCGGATCCCCCTTGCCGTTCAAGAGATTGCTGCTGCCTCCACCTTTTATTAATTCGGAAAACTGTTGCTCTGCCTTTATTAAAATGATCAGCAACTGCTGTGATGAACGAGCCATCTTCCAGTTTAGTTATTATTGTTGCTTTTAGCTCTTCTGATGTATGTGGAGCCATGTTTACTGGAAAAAAATACTTTGCTTTTGACAAAGTGGCAAATAAAATTTTCAGAACGTCAGCATGACATAAGTAGAGAAATGGGGAACAGGTATCATAGAATATACTGCCCGAAATAATAAAAATGGGTTTTAAATCGTATTCAATTTTATTCGAACCAGCTGTACCTATTCTCTGCTTTTACGTTTGCTTCTTTTCAATAGAGTTTAATATTGAAAAGTACTTTATTAATAAACTGTTAAACTCGGTAGACAGCTCAAGTGAAGATTTGTAGGTCCAATATTAAAACAGATCAATAATAAATAAACAAATCTAATCAATATTTATATTTTTATAGCTTACAAAACATTTACGATTACTTGTCTTGTTTTTCATGTTTTCTTTAAATGTTCCTGACTGTAAGAAACAATGGCTGCATGATAAGTTTAAATGGTCCTAAAAATTCATTCTATTTAGTTAATGAAATTTATTTACCTTTACTGCCTACCTCGATTGCTTTTGGATGTAAATACAAAATATTATTACAAATTTTAGAAATTAAATGAGAATTTCTCTCGAACTTCCAATATCTGCTTGATTTCTGTCAGATAAATGACATTGATTGACAAACAAAACCAGAAAAACCAGCCTTCTCGCGCTGGTTAGTTTGGTGACAGTTATAACCGAATTTTTCAGGAACCGTGTTCCGTAATAAGAAAACTTTCAGGAAACTGATTGAAACACAACATAAAACCATAACCAAGGTAAGGAACGGAATACACCCTTAGGGTTCCTGAAAAATTCGGTTAAAACTGTCACCATACTAACCAGCGCGAGAAGGCTGGTTTTTCTGGTTTTGTTTGTCAAGCAATGTCATTTTTGTGACAGAAATCAAGCAAATATTGGAAGTTGAAGTGAAATTCTCATTTAATTTCTAAAATTTGTAAAATTATTTTGTATTTACATCTAAAAACAATGGAGGTGGGCAGGAAAGGTAAAATAAATTTCATTAACTAAATAGAATGACTTTTTAGGACCATTTAAACTTATACTGCAGCCATTGTCTCTTAAAGTCAGGAACATTTAAAGAAAACATGAAAAACAAGACAACAAGTAATCGTGAATGTTTTGTAAGTTATAAAAATATAAATATTGAATATATTTGTTTATTTATTATTGATCTGTTTTAATATTGGACCTGCAAATCTTCACTTGAGCTGTCTAACAAGTTTAACAGTTTATTAATAAAGTACTTTTCAATATTAAACTCCACTGATAAGAAGAAGCAAACGTAAAAGCAGAGAATAGGTACATTATAAATATATAAAAGATAAATTTTATAATAGAGATATTGAAATTTAGAAAACGTCAACATTTGATGTTTCCAGTATTTTACCAAACCGTTCCGTATCAAACCGATGTTTTTCAGGAACCGCTCTTTACCGTAGTTTACCGGTCTGGTTCGCCTGATTTTGCAAAGGAATACAGCCTTAGATTTTCTGCTGACTTGTTTGTTAATGTCAGCGTTTCTGCTCCATATGTCATCACCGGCAACATACATTATTCGTATACTTTTCTTTTCAGACATATGAGTATATCGCTTTTGAATATCTCTCGTAATTTTCCAAAAGCAGCCACTCCAAACCGATTCTGCGCTGTATTTCGTGCGTTTGATTTTTCTTTCCAATCTGTATTTCGTGGCTGAGATATTTGTGCAAGTACTAGATTGGAAATTATTTGAGTTTTACTTGCATTTATTCAGAGACCAACCTTTGATAAGGCTTGTATTATGTATTCCAGCATTTGTTTTGCAAATGGAGTCTTACTCACAAGATATCCAATATCCGATCATATCCGGCCTCTAACCGGCGTAAATGCGCAGTAGTACCTTAATAGATTTTACACTCTTGCAGGTACTACTGCTAATAGATTTTACACTCTTGATATGAAACAATAGTTCGACAGGGTTTCCAGATGTTCATCCGACCATACACTCTCATCGTCAAACATCGCTTAACTTCGGTGATTTATCCGGAAAACAAAGTCCTTCTGAAATATTTTTATCTCCTTAACAAGACCTGCAAATTATATCGGAAGTCAAATTGACATTTTTTTTGGTTGATAAGTGTCATAAAGTTTCTCTTGGAGACATTACCGCAAAATTATGAGTTATGATGTATACAAAATTTTGGTTATTTTTGCCACACTAGTAGGCCTAGTTACGTACACAGGTAAATTTTTTAACGCCAACATATTATCTATAATAATAATAAAAATTGGCGCCGGGAGGAACGTATAGCCACCCATACTAAAATATGTTAATAAAAAGTTGGTAGGCAGTTCTTTTAGTTTCAAAGTAAAGGAATTTTTTTCTAATTTTGGTCCGCGGTTATTTCCCCTAACCGCCACCTGGGCCCTTATTCTTGAAATTCAAGAATACTATTTTATTGTTTTAAAGTGATCCACGCCCATTTCCCGGTCAAGTTCTCCTCCCCAACATTCAAGAATAAGGGTCCTGGGGTCTCGTCCGATGGGAGTTTGGAGTTCACCACACGGATTTTCTCAAAAACGAACTATGGAAACACGAAATATCTCAAAAACTGCGACTTTTACTGATTTTGATGTTATTACAAATTTCGTTGCAAATATTATTCCTAATTTTAAAATGAAAACCGCGTTTCGCTAGCTACTGTAATTAATTCCCCCTCCCATACCCCCTTACCAACCCCCCACCCCTACCAAAAACTAATGGCCAGATTTTCGGATGCCACAGTATTTTTGTGCCAAATTTGGTTAAAATCGGTTTAGCGGTTTTTGAGATATCGTGTTACAGACGGACAGACGGACAGAGAGACAGACACTATGAAAATATTTTGTATTTAGGTCATTTATCACCCAAATAACTCATTTTGAGTGAAATTAAAAAAACTTTTTTTTTTGCCGATCTTAATAGCCTACCATACCTGTTGGTATGGTCGGCTAATAATATGAAATTAGGATAAATTAATACAATATCGGATTCATTACATCCGATACAAATAACAAAAAAAGATCAAGTAAATACGAGTATTAAAAATGTACATTTGAAACAAATACATTTCTCATTTTTATTAATCTATATTATCACTGGCACGAAAAACGGCCACCTTAAAATGTTCATGTATTTTAAAGTTTAATATATTATATTTTATTCTAGTGGGCCGATTTTGATGATTTTTAAGCAATATGTAGCTAACTTATTTGACTTTTTAGAATTTCTTTCCAAATTACAAATGAAAGTTCCCATCTATCAATTATACAAAGTAATAAAAAATGTTGACATTGTGGTGAAAGTTTGAAACACCCTATGGAATATGTTAAGATGCAAGGAATTTAAAAATTGTTTTATCATCTAGGTACATCCTTTCTTGACATTTCTGTCCTAGTCAACAGACTAAGTAAGTTGTGGTTCCGAATATTTGCTTCGTTTAATTTTTTTCTTACAGTCCGTTCACTTACATGTATGTACATTCCATACGCGCAATAAACTTGAAAATCTGACAAACGGCGGTTTCTTAGTGATAAACTTACAATAAGTTGATCGTTTCGATTCGAAGTTCTCATACGTAGGTTCTTAGATGTCTAGCATATAAACTTGTCTCGAGAAATCGACTGTACACCTTAATCGGTTTATCAATAATTTTCATCACTATCATCTGCAATTAAAGCAAACTTCTGGAGTTAAAATCATCTTTGTTAGAGTAACTGCCAAAAAAAGAAAAGATAATAATAATATGATTTTATTATTTCAATAACAGTGACAAAAAAAACTATTTCATAGGTCTAATAAGTAGCCCCAAAAGCAAATGCATGGTTTTAATGTAAAAATTTCGAAAAAATGCTAGTGTCTTCTTCAAAAAAAATAAAGCTATTGAGATAAACCAAAAAATAAACTATTGAGAAAAATGCATCTAGATAATAAAAGGATTTTCAAATTATTTGCTTTTTAAACATATTCGACAGGGTGTTCCAAACTTTTACCAAAATAACAACCTCGTATAATTAACAAAAACACGAAGTTTCATTTTTAATTTAGAAAGCGAAGCAAAAAAATCAAATAATTTAGCCACAACTTGCTTAAAATATCATCAAAATGGATCTACTAGAACACAATATATATAAAACTTTAAAATACCTAAAAATTTTAAGGTGCGTTTTTCGTGCCGGTGAGTGTAAATTAGTAGCAAAGAGATTATTTGCTTGAAGTTTTATTTAAGGTTATTTAAATTACATTTTACTTTTAAAAACATTAGCAATAGACAAATGTTATAACCAACATTAATCAGGAGAAACATTTTCCTTTTAGACTGCAATGTTGACGTTTTACGTTTACAACCCACTCCGCTAGTAGTAGACCAAAACTACAATATAGTTTATCATACAACTCCATTACAGAGAAATGAAAAAATTCATATATGTTGTCCTGGAAATAGTGTAATATATAATGGTGAATTAATGAATGTTGAATGTTTATCTCTAAACTACCTTGATGACGATGAATTTGAAGCTAATGAAAAAATATATCTATTTAATGATTTTAAATGCCAACAAATCCCTAGACACTCTGTGAAATACAATAAAAAAACATGTGAAAATGGTGGCACCGAAATTGAAATCGGTTATGATTTGAAAAGTATTTTTGTCGTTCAGATTACAGTTTGTTTTGATAACAACAATTTAACTCCAATTTATTCATATTATAATATTACAAAAACTATTGGTTATAGAGACGGAAAAGTTCCTAGAGTTTCTTTCGAAGAAAATGGATTCTACACAATATCAACAAGTTTGGACCGCTTATATGAACGAAATGCTGAAATAAAAACAATAAACACCTTATTAAGCCTAAATATCAATTCAGAAAAGTACATAAAAAGAAATGGAGACTTATTTATTAATAGAGGACACCTAGCAGCAAAAGGAGATTTTGTTTACTCGTTTCAGCAACTTGCTACATTTCAATATGTCAATTCTGCCCCACAATGGGCCTCATTCAATGGTGGCAATTGGAACGAAGTTGAAATAAATATAAGAGATTACGCAATGTCTAAAGATGTCAATTTAGAAATATACACGGGAGTTTATGGCATTTCGACATTACCAAATGAGAAAAATAATGCGCCCACAAATCTATATCTATTCACTGATAATAATAAAAACCTTATTCCTGTGCCACTTCTATTTTGGAAAGTGGCATACAATCGAAAAGTAAAGCAGGGAGTCGTTATAGTAGGTATAAATAATCCATATATAACGAATATTTCTGAACATATTATCTGCGAAGATATTTGGAACAAAATACAGTGGTTTAATAGTAAGCTCTCTAAGTATAGGCAAAATGTCAACTTCGGGTATACATATGCATGTTCGGTACCAGATTTTAGAACTGTAATTAAAGAGTGTCCCGATATTGATGTACACGAATTATTACAATAAATAAAAATTTTAAAACTAGATGTTTTAATTAGTAGTTAATATCTTGACTGGCTCTGATATATCGGTAGACAATGAAATTTACCCAAACTTGACTTGTGGTGTAGTAATTCTAATCCAAATTAAGTATGGAAAATATGGAATTTTCCATACTCCTAGACACTCAACCAAATCAAACCATTTACTGAAATATGAGTCAAAAGAAATACTTTTGTTCATTTTTTATTAAGCTGCCAACATAAATAATTTGTCTAAAATAAGAGTAAAAGTAAAAGTAAAGCAAAACTTCATAGATAAAAGTATCCTACTTGATTCATACCAAAAGTGATATGTCAAGAAAGACTAGTAACATCTGCTTCTAAAGATTTTCCTAGAGGGCCAGTTCTTCTGATTGAATTTAAGCTGTCGAATAGTGGTCTAAAAATAATATAAAATTTCCGGTATCAATTGCATTGGGGTCTAGGTCAACTTGCGATTTTGAAACAAAAAATAACAAAAAATCTACCAAAATATCTTGGTCCATGGTATGTGGAAGATAAAACTGCTCAATATGGTTCCATTTCCCAATACAGTTTTCCCGTTCATTTTAAAGTAAACGTCATTCTTTAACAAATTATTACTCACACCCTTGAAGAGATGAGATGAGATGTATCATATAAGGGAAGTATTTCAATTTCCTCCACCAAAAAAAAAACAAAATATTTATTTTCAATATTTTCCCTCTTGCAGTATTCATCGTTCTCTTTTATTAGTAAATTAACCACTGTTTGGTTTGGACACCTCGATCACAAACGGTGTAAGTAATTGTGAGACCTATTTCTTGGCATATGTTTATAATCCTTTCAATAATTTTTTTAATAGACAAACTACACATTGGATCACTACTATACTAAATAGTCCTTTGACCAAAAAAACATTGACGTAGTCTTCAATTTTATGCCGTCTACATCATGTTCGTCTAAACCCACTATAAAGTCTTCTTTTGCATAAAAATATAAGGAACTATGTACAGACATTTCGTCAAAGCAAAGAATATCACATCTGTCTATTGCTTTCATTTGACTAAGACAGATAGTTTCAAGTTCTCAAATATTTTTTACCTCTAGAGAAAAAGGAATTTAATCTTTTTTTTCGATGAAATCACAAACAATCTTCCAAGTAAACAATATCCTTTTCCACTAACCTTAAGAACTGTAAGTGCCATCAATTTTTTATTTAATGTAAACCCCCTCGCTTTAGGTTGCTGATGTTGGATTCGTATTTTTGATAATATAAATAACATGATCCATTAATTTTACGAAATTAGACGAAGATGCCATTCTCTCAGCTGCTTTCACTCTGTTCTTCTAATTTGAGACTCTGTTTCCCTGTCTGATTATCTTATTATTTGCCTCAGTTAATTTTTAATAAAATAATTTTGCAAATACTTCTATCTGGAAACATTTGCCTCTTTTAATAGACCGCGTATCGGAGGTACTAAAAATTAAAAAAAGTTATATCGTTGATTGAAGACATAAGAAGATGCGCAACCTTATGGGCGATTTCGTAGCACAAAACCTGTCCGAGATGTAGCTGGCGATACCGTCGCCGTTAGTCAACCTGTCCGAGATTTAGTTTATCTCTGCGCGCTGGTAGTCGTTTACAGCGCAGCGGATAAAGAATACTGTACCATAGTTCTGCTGTCACTCGACAGAGTGGGTGGTTGCCGGAGACAGTGTTGCCAGAACAAGTGATGGGCAAAACTGTTATTTTTAACAGCTTAAAATAACAGCTTAAAAATAACAGGTTTCTTTATTTTATTGCTAAATATCTGAAAGAGTATGAGGCGGTCACCTCCAGGCGTATAAACGCAGTTGCAAGTTGCAACAATGACGTGGTCGGTGGTAGTATTTCCAGGGTGTCAAAACATTTCTAAATATCGATTGTTATCTAAAATACCTCTCTAGAAACGGTGGTTGTTTACAAATAAGCGCTGTTTACAAATTGCAATATAAAAAAAGCCAAAATTCCGCAACTCGTCTAAACCTATACATTCCGATCTACCTACGCTCTGCCCCTCGATCCGCGTAGATCCTGAATTGCATAGCAGTGTACAGGGTGCATCTCACTCGACGGGCGAGAAGCTCTTAGTTATAATTTTACCATTTGCGGTCAAAAAATAGCAATATAAGAAAATGTGTAGTATATTCTTCATAAGTAAACCAACTACACTCTAGAGTTCGAATTAATTTTACACTTAAACTAGCGTGTACCCGCGACTTCGTTCGCGTCGAATTAATAATTTGTAATGGTGATAATAAAGCAAAGCAAGAATTTCCATTAACATACAAACTGGATAAAATTTTCTCACATTTGGCAAAAATAAGTTTTAAACGTCGCGCAGTTTAAGCAGAATCGTGGTTAATCAATTACTCAACTTTTTGGAACACCCTGTATGATTTTTTTAAAAATTTCAAAATATGTAAAAAAACAAATTTATAATAAATTATGCGTGTCCAAGCGTTTTCCCGAAAGACTAACCGTTTTTTAAATAACAAATATTGTAATATTTGAGGGGCGTTTTCACTCTCTTGGAATTTGAGATTCGAGAAACCCCTCCTTATAGAACCTCAACCCCACAGTCAATCCGTTTGCCAAAAATCAGCTTTACACGTCAAGCAGTTTAAGCAGAATCGTGATTACTAAATGGTCATATTTTATGAAACACCCTGTATATATTTTTAAAAAATCTTAAAATATGTAAAACAACAAAATAAAATATACGTGTTTAAGAGTTTTTCCGAAAAACTCACCGGTTTTTAAATAAAAAATATTCTAATATTTGAGGGTGGTTTCACCCCCTTAGAATTCGAGTTTCGAAAAATCCCTTCTTATCGAACCTCTACACCCTAAAGTCAATCCATTTTCCAAAAATCAGCTTTTTACGTCAAGGGCTTTAAGCAGGATCGTGATTAATCAATGACCAGATTTTTCAAAACACCCTTTATACATTTTTAGAAAATCTTAAAATATTATTCTGAAAATTTTACAGAATAAATAAATACCTAAATATTGAAACTTAATAAGTAAGTACTGAAACATACACCGCCATAATATATCGACCTCCGCCCGTTATTCTCGTAACAGGTTGAAAAACAATGTATCTAAAACAACCGATGCGTTATTCTCCAACCTGTTTCGAACCTCCATCGACAATCGACAGACCGATGCAGCAGCGTTACTTTCCCACTCCGATTATCTCGACCGCCGCTCTGTTATGCTCGTAACAGGTTAAAAAACAATGTATCTAAAATGACTGCTTCTCCAACCCGTTGCGAGCCTCCATCGACAATCGACCGATGCAGCAGCGTTCCTTTCCCACTCCTGTTATCTCGACCGCCAGGCGTTATGCCCGCAACTGTTTCAAAAAAGCTGCTTCTTTTATATCCTATTATTTTTAAGCTGTTGCAAGCCCCACACGACCATCGATCGATGCAGCTACGATCGCGGCGCCGCGCCGCGCCGTAGCGCATTCCCCACTCCGTTGTCCGTTGTATCTCGCCGCCTGTATCGATGGTTGTCGAAATAACATGATTTCCAACTAGAAGCTAGGAAGCCGCACTCCACTTTTGCTCCTTTGCTTTCGCGCATGCGCATGAGTTATACAAAATCGATCGGGTATTTCGCGTGCAATCTATAAATACAAAAAAACTCACACCAAAGACTAACCAACGCAATCAATTGATCGCTGTTACCAACAACTCTAAATAAATAAATAAAATAAAAACAGTTTTAAAAAATAAAAACAGCTGTAAAAAAATAAAAAAGTTATATGTCTACCGAGGTTCGATCCACCGTCCCGTTGCTCACAAAGCGGCAGCCTCAAACCACGGAGCTACACGTTGCTTTCGTAACGGAACTATATTGAAGTATTACTTCGCTCTGCCGTATGGTATTTCAATGCATGCGTGAAGCAAAGGAGCAAAAGTGGAGTGCGGCTCCCTAGCTTCTATATGATTTCCATCCATAATCCATACTTCGAGCAGCATCGAATTTCGTGGCGGTGCAGTGCGCCGACTTCGTTTCACGAACGGTCGATCTCTGCGTATCGTTATTTTATATCTGTTATTTTTTAAAAGTAGTAACGGTTGCGTTATGTTATTTCTAAATAATTGTTATAAAATAACATATAGTTAAATAACAACCCATCACTAGCCAGAACTACGCATTAATCCGTAGGTTTACGGATTTCGGATACAGTACGTTAATAATACGGATTTTGTATCATTAAATAATTTAATATAATATTATATGATTAAACAAAGAACGGCATCAAAGTTGGCTTGGAAATGAAGATCGCTGTTATTTCATATGTAAAATATTATGGTAAATGTCAATAGTCGTCATTTCCAAGCCACCTAATCCTACATATTTTCATATGGCAACACTGTCGCTTTCAGTTCCACACCGTCTTCGATATGCCTTCGCTAGCCGAATTAGACAAAATGAGTGTTTTATGCGTTGGCTGCAGAACGAGCAGAGGCCCTACCATACAGCACTTGAGGCGTAAGTGAAAATCAAATCAGTCTTGTCACAAATTTGCCCATTAGGTTGCATATCTTCCCAATTCTTTCAATCAACAGTTATATTTAGTTTGTTAGTTATCTAGCTGTATCTCCGAAACGAAGCATTTTAGAATATACGTTTATACGAACTTTTTTTCTTATTTTTATTTGCCGAAGTATTGCCGAAGTTTTTCAAATACAATTCGGACTAGCGTGTGTATTGTACCAATGAATTTTTACTATAAAATTGAAGATATGGAAGACGGTGCGAAGATTTAGATCTTACGTGGTATAAAATATGATTTATATACTTTCAGGCATGTTTTATTCAATGCATTTTATTTTAATGAATGGCAATTGCTTGTGTAGTAATTAATTATTATTATTAGATATCAATTAGAGAATTATATAATTATTAAAAATGAATGAAAATAATAATTTATTAGATATTTACGATAC